AGTAAGTCAGGAGAAGAAGCTGGCCAAGAAATGGATGAGGGGATTTTCCCAGGAATCAGGATCCCCCGGCCTCCAGAGCCCTTGGGAACAAAGAAAGAGATTCCGGTCCAGTGAGTGGGCGGGTCCTATAAAAAGGGGCCCTCCCTACCCACTACAGCCCGCCTACATACATACACACAGCACTGAGCCCAGGGACCTTCCGTTCACCTTTAGAGCCGGAAGGAAAGAGCTAGAGAAGTGTGCTGGTGGGGACAGGAGAGGGAAGGTGTCCGGGAATAAAGGAGTGAGACCAGCCCTGGGAGGTCCAGTGGTGCTTCAGGGAGTGTTAAAAGTGAGAAGAGTTTGAAGAAGACCCCAAGGGGCTGCCTGCCTGTTGCTCAATCCCAGGCCTGTCCCGCTTTGTTCCGGAACCCAGAATGGGCAGAGAGAGGTGAAAGGGATCTTAAATCTATGAAGCAGTGGCATAGAGTGTGGGACTTGGAGCTAAGACCACCTGGGTTCAAATCCCAGTTCCACTACTGGGTTCTGTGGGTTGTATGACCCCAGGCAAATCCCTTAACCTCTCCAGCCCCACAGGAAGAGTACCTTTTTCAAAGAACCATTGAGAAAATGAAATGAGTATGTTTTAAGAGTCTGTTATGATCACATTCCCATTATACAGATGGGACAACTGAGGCCCAGAGAGGAACGGACACTTGCCCAGCATGGCACAAAAGCACTTTCCAAATCAGTAGGCAGACATCCTGGGTCCGGGTCCTGGTCCTGGGGGAGGACCCAGGTCCCCAGTGTGCTCCCCAAGGACCGTAACCCCAGGCTCCTCTTTGAGGCCCAGCCAAAAACCCTGCAGGATGTGCTGAGATCCTGCCCTGGCAAACCCAGGCCGCTTGGAGCCAAAGCTCCACGTCCTCAGCTGCCCCCAGAAAGGAGCTCGGAGGCCCGTTCCCTTCCACTGCCATTTATAGACACGCTTCCCGAGGCTGGGATGCGCCCGCCCCCTCCAGGACCTGGCCAAGGAGAAGTCTGGCAGCAGGGCTGGCAGGAGCCGTGGGGGAGAAGAGGGTTCTGGCTTTTCTCATTAACTTACTGTGCGAACTTGGGGCAACTCACACCCCCTCTCTGGACCTCAGGTGTTCCTCAGCATTTGAACTCTGTGTGGTATAAGGAGCTAAGAGTCTAAAGTCCACAGCCTGCGTTTGAATCCCAGCTCTACCACTTTTCTGGGTGTGTGGCCGATACAGATTTCTTAACCTCTCTGAATCTCAGTATCTTCATCTGTAAAATGGGCTGGTAATAGGGATCCAGTACTTCCTAGGGTTATGAGAGGATTAAAAAGAGTTACCATAGGGAAAATCAGTGCCTGGCACATGGTGAGTGCTCAAAAAAAAAACGGGAGCTATTATTATTTATTATTATGAAGGTATTATATTCTATTGATATATAAGCCCTTATTTCCAAGTAATATTTAGAATTGTCCAACTGGTTTTCACAAGCAACACCTCGCTGGTTCCATACCACCCTCCAGGAGGGCACAAGGCAGGAATTCTTATTCCCAGCTCACAAATGAGGAAACTGAGGGTCAGAGTTACACCTTAAGGAACTGTTTGAGCTGGGATTCGAATCTGAATCTTCAGACTCGAGAGTTCACATTCATTTCATTTGCCCCAGGCTGGTCGCAATGCCTTTTCCAACACTAGGGTCTGACTCTAAAGCAGGATGTGGTGGAGGCACCTTAGAAGAGAGAAGAGGCGTTGGAGGGTACCTTGGTCAGGGTGGGGGAGTGGGGCCAGTGAGGCTCAGAGCAGGCAGTGGTAGCACAACCAGCATATCCCAGCTCCTTACAGGTTTCTTGGCAGCCTCTGTTCCAGAACCTCTTACTTCCTGTAAGAAACCACTAACATGTGGCATTAAGGCTAGACAAGGGGAAGAACTTCCCACTTAAAGGAAAGGAGGAATTTGAGACATCTTTTTCCCAGATGAGCCCCCAGGGAGTGAATATCATCTGATGATGTCACTCTTCAGATCAGAACTGTTCTGTGGGGGCTTCCCTGGTGGCGCAGTGGTTGAGAGTTCGCCTGCCGATGCAGGGGACGCGGGTTCGTGCCCCGGTTCGGGAAGATCCCACATGCCGCGGAGCGGCTAGACCCGGGAGCCATGGCCGCTGAGTCTACACGTCCGGAGCCTGTGCTCTGCAATGGGAGAGGCCACAACAGTGAGAGGCCCGCATACAGCAAAAAAAAAAAAAAAACTGTTCTGTGGTTCACCATTGCCCTCGGGGTTGAGTCAGCACTACTGAGCCCAGCCTGCAAGGCTCTGCAGGGTCTGGCCAGCCTGCCTTCCCCACCCCAACTTCCCCTCCATCCACCCTAGGTTCTCTCTGTTTCCCAGATGCTCAATATCTCCCCTGTCCATCAGGCCTCTGAATACACTTGCCTCCTCACCCCTACCTGGCTCGCCCAGCCAGCTCCTGCTTTTCCTTCTTGTCTCCCTTTATGTACCCCTTCCTCCAGGAAGTCCTCCCTGACCTCCCCCACTAGTGCCTACAGAGTCCCCTCTGCCTCCCTGCCTCCCCTCCTCCCCGATGGCACTGTTTATGATTGCTCACCTGCTTACCTGTCTGTTTCACCAACTGGCCCACATGGAGTAGCAGCTAAGTGCAGGGGCCCTAACATCATGCAGTCTGGGGTCCAGTCCTGCTCTGACACCTGTTGGCCTGATGACCCTTGGGCAAGTTACTTACCTCTCTGTATCTCAGTTCTCCCATTATAAAATGGAATAATAATAGCATCTACTAACAGGGTTGTTATGAGGATTTTTAAAGGTTTTATGTGTAAATACTAGGGCATAGGTGCACAGTAATTACTCAGTAAATATTAGCTAGTATGTATTTAATAAATAAGGCTGGGACATAGTAAGTAGCCAACAAACGTCTATTGAAGTTATTTTATTTAATCATCACCTGCATAATGTTTATTATGTGCTAGGCATATTCTAAACATATTTCAAATATCAGCTCATTTTATAGATAAGGAAACCGAGGCACAGAGAAGTTAATTAACTTGCCCAACATTGCACAGCTAGTAAGTGGTGGAGCCAGGTTGCAAACCTGGGGCAGACTGGCTCCAGCAGCCATGCTTTTAAATGAGTGAATTTAAATGACTGAATAAATATGCCTTTGTTTCGGGGGAAGGGAGCCCGGGGCTTCATCTACAGAATTTACTCAGTTCCCACCCTCGCTCTCACCCCAGCTTCTTTCAGGTCCCAAGAGCTCCTGATTGGCAAGTGACATCTGTGGGATGTGAGGCTGGTTGGAAGCCAGAGGTAAACTGCCAGGTCACTACTTCCGCTATGTCACAGGTGATGTCCAGCCCCCTGCTGGCAGGAGGCCCCGCAGTCGGCTTGGCTTCCTGTGAGGAACCCAGGAGGGTCCTGCACCCAGCACCCAGCCCCGGCCTGCCGCCCCAGTGTCCTTACTACACCACAGAAGGCTGGGGAGCTCAGGCCCTGATGGCCCCCATGCCCTGCAAGGAGCCCCCCAGCAGGCTCCAGCAGGCCCCACAGGCTGGAGCCAAAGCCGGCTGCCTCCTGCAGTCCCCTGGGGAGCAGGCCTCGGCAGCCTTGGAGGACCTTGACTCCTACATTGACTTCTCGCTGGAGAGCCTCAACCAGATGATTCTGGAACTGGACCCCACCTTCCAGCTGCTCCCTCCAGGGCCTGGTGGCCCCTGGGCTGAGCCCACCCAGAGCACTACCTCGAGGAGAAAGAAAGAAGAGCCTGAAGCTTTGGGTAAGGAACTGGGGCACAGTGCCAGGAGGAGGGCTTGGGGACCAGACCTCATGAGGAAGGAGTTTTCTATCAAATCAGAGGAGCAGGGGAGGAGTGCTGTGCAGCTCTAAACAAGTTACTTAACCTCCCTGTTTTCTCTGCTCTATAACAGAGATAAATATAAGTAGCCCTCACTGTCCAATTCTATTTGGTTCTTGAGTTTGGAAAGTGATGGATACCTGTTTTATGTAATTTTTCAGAGAATTTAAATAAGCTAATATAGATAAGCATATTATACAATGCCATGCATATAAATAAGAGCTTGATAAATGTGGTGTCCCTGAATCTCACTGTTCTATGGTGTCTCTCTTAGGTCCTAGCCTGGGCACCCTGAAATTTTGATAGGAACGGTATTTTCACCTTACCCATAACAATAAATGTAAATAACTTCGAGTATAGGTAATAGTAAATATAGTAAATAATTGGGATGTGATGAATTTTTGAGTGTTTATTACTTTTGTTTTTAATATGTTATTTCATTGTAAGTTTGTGTAGTTTAATCTTCAGTACTGGTTTAGCCATTACTAAAGATTAAACTACACAAACTTACAATGTTTATATAATTTAGCAACCAGCTGGAAAAAATCTTGAAGATTTAACAATCAGCTTTCATGAGTTGGTTCAAGCCAACTCCAGGATACCACCATGTCCAGGAGTATCCAGAAATCTCTGCATCTGGCTTCAGTTTCCCAAAGAGTTTCAAGTACACTTTGAGGATGAGGGTCACGGAGCAGCAGCCCCATTAGACAGGCTGGAAGACTGAGGCCTCCAGAGGTTTAATCAGCGTGGGTTAGAGGGTGTGGTGAGGATTAGAGATGGGATCCAGGAGAATTTCTACTTATTGAGCATTTATCATTCTATCCAGGCACTGTGCTGAGCATTTAGTAATTGAACCTTTGAGCTTCCCTATCCACCTCCATGAGACGAATATTTTATCCCCATTTTACAAACAAAAAGACTGAGGTCGATGGACTTGAGGAAGGAGCCAGTCTAGCCTAATCACTGGAATGAGGCAAACCTTACACAAGCTGTTTACTTCACTTCTTTGCGTCTCAGATTCTTCATCTGTAAAATAGAGATGAGTTTGCACTTCAAAGGGTGTTGCAGGGATTGAAAAAATAACATTTGATGGGTGTTTATCACAAATCCTGGGACACCGTAGGTCACGATAAATGGTGGCTGTTTGTAGTCAACATTGGGGTTGCGACTAAGACCAGCCGCAGGACAGGTTCAGGCTCTGGGGTGGAGGTCAGCCCGGCACACAGGTCCCTCTGGCAGCCGGGCTCCTGGTCTCCAGCCAGCCTTCTGCTCCTCCCATGAAGCATTGCCTGACAAGCCTAGTAAAAGAACCACCTCCAACCCTCAAGAGTCTTCCTGCTTCTTAAGGCCAGTCGTGGGCATGTCTCTGCAGGAAAGGTGACTTGGGCCTAATTATCGCTGGCAGGAGCCAGCCTAGGACTTTAATGCTCATGCCCCAGGGTAGGGCTTCCATACACTCAAGGCCAGCTGGGGCAAGACCAACCTCTGTGGGGTGTGCACTTGTACAGGGTAGGGGTGTTGATAACAGGGTCCTTCCTCCAAGGGACCAATGGGCAGTTGTCTGCGTTCTCAGATGCCCTGGGCACAGCCTGCCATCTTGAGGATGTGTCCAGCAGACTCTGGGCAGCAGAGGGTGCCAGAGAGCAGCAGTAGTCAGAGGGTCCTGATGAAGCCACCTAGCTCTGCCCTCGCTCCTTCTGATGGAATTTTTTAAAATCCTCTCCTCCAACCTCTGCCTGGACACCTGTGATGCCTGGGAGCTCACTACGTCCTCGGACAACCAGCAGGTCAGCTCCCCGTTAGTAAGTTCTCTGCCATCACTAAGAAGAGCGAGAGCCTGCAGGTCACTGTGGTGGCTGCACCTTGCTCCCCAAACCCTCCCCTCAGACCACTGCTACTGGTGACAAAGCTCTCCCAGCCCATGGCACCGCAGTGAGTTTTCATCCAGCCAAACGTATCCAGTGCGTAGAACTCCTCTGTTTGCACTCTCATCCATCCTACTTTGGGGATGTTGAGTGGAAGACGTTCTATAATTGTGATGCTAGCAGACGTTCACTGCTTCTCTTTGTCCTAACTTGGCAAAAGCAAAAATTAAACATCGGCGATCTTGTGTCGATCCCTCCCCTAAAAATGTCCAGATAGATTTTTGTTAACACATAATTCCACCCTGTGAAGGAAATACTGGAAACCCCATTTACAGATGAGAAGACTGAGGCTCAAGGAGAGGAAGCGATGGCCACAGTCACACAGCTAGTGAGTGGTAGGTCAGCTCAAAGCCCGGGCCTCTGGGCTCCAAAGTCCACGTTCTTGCCTTTCTCTCTTCCTTGGAGCTAGTTTCCTGCCCTCCAGGGCTTCAGTGAGGCTCCACCGCCCTAGTGCTCTCAAACCTTCATCCAGCTCCCTGCCTCTGCCTCTTGCTTACCTTCCTTCAGATTTACCCTGGGGGGGAGGGGGAGGGGGTACCAGTCCCACAGGGAACATGGCTTCTGGAAGTAAATACCATACCCCTTCCTTTATCCTCTCCGCCACCCCTCCCCATCTTTGGAACAGGCCCCCGCGTTTTATTTTCCAGAATTTCTGCCAGGCAAGGCGGGTTTGCCAATCCCAAGTGAAGGGTGTTTAACAACCGTCTCTCCAACCCTCCACCCACCTGGCCTGGTGCCAGGTGCCTGCATCCACCCAGCACTGCTCAGACTTGCCCCACGGGCCTGTAAACAGCCGCTGCTCCCAGGTGATAGGGTGGCGGCCCTCCACCTGCCCAGCCACATCCACCCCGGGGCAGCAGCGGGAGTGACTCACAGCTCTAGGACACCGCCCTCCCTTCCGGCAAGGCCTTTCTTTGGTAGGTGTTCGGATGACCCTGTGAGTAGGACCCAGAGCTTCACCAGGCCGAGAGACGCCCCCCCCCCCCCCCCCCCCCGCCAAAGCAGCCAGGCACCTTCTCACGGTCAAGGTCTTGGGAAAGGGTCCTGAGGAGTCCCTCCCCGTGGAAGAGCCCACCCCACCCCCAAACAGAGCACGGGAGCAGGCCTCAGTTTCTTCAACCTTTCTGAGCCTTGCTTTCTCGTCTGTTACATGGAATTAAGAATGTTTCCTACTTAGATCGAGTCATGAGTATTAAAAGAACTAACACAGGTAACGTGTCTGTAGCAGCGCTGGTGCACAGCACTCAGTAAATACCAGCCTTTATTTAAAACGATGCAATAGGGCTTCCCTGGTGGCGCGGTGGTTGAGGGTCTGCCTGCTGATGCAGGGGACGCGGGTTCGTGCCCCGGTCTGGGAAGATCCCACATGCCGCGGAGTGGCTGGGCCCGTGAGCCATGGCCGCTGAGCCTGCGCGTCGGAGCCTGTGCTCCACGGTGGGAGAGGCCACGGCAGTGGGAGGCCCGCGTACCACAAAAATAAACCAAAAACCAAAAAAAACGGTGCAATAAATGTGAGCTCCACTGCCACATTTCTCCAAGCCTCAGTTTCCTCCTCTGTAAAAGCAATGCCTGCTGGCACTGGGCATAAAGGCTCTTGTGAGGCTTGAGAGGATTATGGGTATAAACACTATAAAATCCTATTTAAAAAAAAAAAAGTTGTGGGCTTCCCTGGTGGCGCAGTGCTTGAGAGTCCGCCTGCCGATGCAGGAG